AAGACCGTAAAAGAATGTAAAAAGATTTGAGAAAAGAGAGAAAGAAAAGAAGAGAAATATTCACGATGTTTGTAAGATGTTAACTCATGTTAACTCGAATAGAGAAATGTCCAGTAAGATCGTGAACTCACCCTTCTTTTCTTAGCATGTTAAACGTTAATTTGTCCGCAATGCTGCGTGTGGCGATTGGTAGAACCAAAACTAAAGCTTTAACAATCCTTGAAGGCTGTTGGGTTGTTTGTTTTCGTTTGCTTTTGTCTTAAATTGTAAGATGCCAGAAGTTAATAAAAAAGGAAAATTCAAAATGCTATCGATGCACTCGAAAAGTACTAATAAATGTCACGCTTAAATTCGTGCCGATACCTACCTTGTATCTTAACATCTAACCGCCTACTACCTTAATTAATAGAATGTTATTAATTAGTCAAGCAGACCATGAAAAATAGTGAATTTAATGAATTGAAATGAAGTACACTTCACTAAAGCTCTCCGTGGTCATTTCATTTGTCGCTGAGAATACAATACACGACATTTGAAAAATGGTAAAAAGGAGGGAAAATTCAAAAAGGTGGGGTTGAGATGGGAAGATAGTGCCCGAGCAGATCGAAGTCACGATAGCTCAAGAGGCAGAGAACCGGCGTATCAAGCCGAAGGTCGTGGGTTCGAATCCCGCTCGTGACACTGACTTTTTTATCTCAACTTAAAACCTTAATTAATTGAATGCTATTAATTGGTCAAGCGGACTACAAAAAATGTAGTGAAGTTACTGTTATGTTAAAATGTGTTTTAATTATTTCACAGCACAAACAAGCAAGTAGAAACCATATGTTTATTTTTTCTTGGTTGAATGTGTGCTGCATGGATAAGGATTATCTTCGCTTCAGACCATAACAATGTTTGCCGACGATTTGCGGTTACCGGAGTTAACAGTACCAATACAGTTCCATACCATTTCATCGTTCGTATCCCATCTACCTACCGTTAAAATCACTCGGGTTGCGGGTTACTAACCTCTTCCCATCACGAAAATCCAACTGCAAATATGTACAAAAAAATCGATTATAGAATCGATTTAATAACGGTTTATTTAAATATAAAAAAAATGTAATGACAGTTTGGAAATATAAATCTTCGTCTTAATAACGAGGCAATTAAGATTTTTCGGTTTGGTCCGACCTATCCTTCATCATGCCTGTCAAATCAAAAACCAATCTTCATTTGATTTATTGACATTTTATTTAGCCAAGCCTATTTATACGATCGTGTCTTATTTTTCGTCCTTTTGCATGCTTTTTATTAGTTTGAATAGTTGAGGGCTGATCTATAAGTTCATCACTCAGCAAAACATTTACATGAAATCAAACTTAAATACTTATTATTATACTTAAAATAAAACGGGAGTTACTTCATAAATATAAATAAGAAAGTTTTTTGCGATATAACTGTAAAAAATATACAGGAATACGAATAACTTACAACCACTAAGAAATAATGACGCACATTTGTTTGTTTTTTTATGCTCCTAACTTATTTTATTATTATGAAATATAAGGGTTTCCTTCTTTATATTAATTTAGTGACTTCGGCTAAAATATTATATTCAAGAATTATAGAAAACCGCCTTGGTCTTGTGGTTATGGCGTCCAATTCTTGTTAGCCACGTTAGCGGTTTTTTGTTCTAACCCCGGCATAACCCAAGGCTTTATAATTGATCATAATATGAAAAAATGATTTTAAAGTTGTTTGACCACAAGTGCAAATCGTCTATTTTTACATATTTGTTATTGTACACTTTTGTTTTGATTGTTCCAGACATTTTGTTTTATTAAAATAAACTGGCAAGAAATTCCACTATAAAATATAACATTTTAAAAAAACATATAGAAGAGGTTTGAGGAAAAATACATAGATGGAGAAAGTAATTCTTTATAGTTCATTTATTACTGTGATACTTATCAGAACGAGGACGCCAATTACAAGCATTTAAAGACTGACTCTCAACACGACATCCAAGAATGGCACAATTACACAGAAGACAAACACTTTGAGCCCTGAAGATGATCTCAATAAAGATCGAAACGTTGGCACGATAAAGAAAATGTTTTCTGAAATCTACATCACACCAGACCGCATCTCACGATTTCTGAATAATAAATTAAAGAGTTGAGTAAGGAATTATATTTTTGAATTTGTACTTAGAAAAAAAATTTTCGAGTGCAAAAAGTGTAGCAATTTGGGGCAATTATTTTTTACCATTGATAATGTTAAAGTAAATAAGTATATCATTTTGCTTTCTATTAAAAATAAAACAATATTTTTTCTTTTATTTATTGCAAACAATAAACGCTTAGCAATCTCAACATATGTGCCATATTTTAATATGGAAATCGAAAAGTGCCAACTTCAATATTCATACCCAGACGTTGTCGTGCATTTCAAATTTTCCTTTGTTCTCTGATCTGTTTATTTATGTTTTTCTTTTTTGATTGAGTTGAGTCAGGCATAGAAACTCGTGGGGATTTCCTCCCTTGGGGTCGATCTCGGTTTCACCGGGGGAATTGTCACTTTTAATTTTAAAATTCGCGGGCATCCAGCTCCTTGAAAGACAGGTGGCGAATTTCAATTGACACTGGATGGCCCATGTGTCATTTTGGCACTTTCGTTTTTCTAATAAAAAAAACACCAACCGATCAGATATAAAATACCTAAAACAGTTTCCGCTAGATGATACCACAGAAACTTTGATACTTCATAAATTACCCAGGTTGCTTTAAATTAGGCACTATTATTATTTAATAATAATCGAAGCATTGAATTGACAAAAATAACTAATAATATGACTACTAATATTTTAATACTATTTTGAACAGGAGTGAAATCAAAATGTTGCATTGCAAGACATTGAAAGTGGAGGAACAAATTCATGTGTTTTGTAAAAAAAATATTGATTTTCATTTGGTTGTTTCTAGTTAAACAATAAAAAACAGCATAAATCATTTAATTAATTCGTTATAAAAACTTTTAAAAGCAAACTTACTACTAAGAAACGGCATTACTTCACATAACATACAACAAAATATAATCAAATAACCCAACGAAAATGATATCTGCTAACACATCAATCACATATCAAACTTATTTAAAATTTCTGGAAATTAATAAATTATTCTAAACAAATTTATATAGGGTCAAATAATTATTTACTATCCTTAACATCAATTTTACAGATTTTAAAATTTGGTGTAATATTCATGCTGTACACAAGGCATGGTTGGGTAGAAATTTATGAGTTGTTTGTATATAAAATTATATCGATATTCTCACGTTTGTTTATTTTTGCACCTTGATCATTTTAGACACGTTGAGATTTAAATAAAATTCAAGCCTTTATGAGCAGCACTTGACATAACTTATATAATATATTTAAGTAATCTAAACTCCAGTAATTTTTAATAGAAACTAAAAACTTTTTTTGTTTGTTTTGAATATCACACAAAATAATTTACATTTTAACTGTTAGAAATTAACAAAACGAAAATGGTATTTTTATAAAATTTTAACTTAAACCCATCGATTTATATGCCTGCTTGTCTTAGCCCAAAATTGAAACAATATAAAAAATGACAGTTTCAAATCAAATGACATGAGCATAATATAGTAAAATTATGTAATAACACTCTTGCAAATTAAATAAGAGTAGTAGTAGTTATAAAAACTTTGTAAATGCGATGTTGGCCCTTTAAACATTAACTGATCACTTTTTTAGATTAAATTATAAGTGCAAATAAAAAGTACAAGTAAATATAACTAAATTGAATGGAAATGAATAAAAGTAAAGTTACGCTTTAATCTAACCAAATTAGTTATTTTTTAATTACCTTAATAGTGGCCATCTGGGAGGAAATAATTTCCCTATTTCCATGGCAGCCATCAAATTTTCACATTACGTCGCCATTACTCATAAATTACCAATTTCTTTTTTCAAGGTAGTAAAATTTAAAAATATACAATTATTATTATTTTTATAAAAACTGGACAAAGATTAGGAAGGAACGAGGAATAGCATTAAAGTGATTTTTTCTCTCTGTCTGGTAAGAAGAAAACTAAATCGTTCGCCACGAAAAGAAATTTAGTAAAATAGCAGAAAATAATTGTTGAGGGACATTTGAGAACAGGACATGCATTGTATAAATCCTTCTTATATAGGTTCGATATGTTCAGCACGCCATTTTGGGAAGCATATAAAGTAAAAGAAACACCAGAAAAACTTATCATGATTTGCCTGAAATATAGAACACAAAGCAAGGAACAAAGGGTTTTAGAAAATTGCAAAGTTAGTTCAAAATCCTTTCGCAAATGTCGAGTATAGGGGATTGATTGGTTTAAGATCAACTTCGCCCACATATATTCATGCATGTACAGATTTGAGTATATGGAGTTTGACTCCAGAAGCTGTTCACATATTAGGGTATTTTTGCTCCAAAGTTTTTAATCTAGAAAGTTAGAAATACTCATACTCTCTCACTCTTAAATAAATTCCTTCCAATTAACATAGAATTCATTTAAATAGGGTTTTGTTGAACTGCAAATGCCTCCATCACCTTTGTTCATATGACCAGAGTCGGTGGAATAGCCAAAATTCCACCATCATCCTCTTACACTAAACACTCTCGCTATTAAATACATTCACTTCCAATATACACATAAGGAGATTTCTACCATGTAATATATAAAACAGCCCTGTTTCCTCCCAAAATCTGGACAGTTGACGTAAATACTAGATCAAGCACAATTCTCATATAATGTGGCATTCGTACACGCTCGTTGTCTAGAGTCACTATCACTGTTTTTTGTTTTTTTGTAGTGGTTTCATTACTTATAGACGTAACAATCAGTACATTTTGAGAAACCTAGAAGTATCAGAAATTTACACGGTAGTCTTATATTTACTTCAATAAGTTTTGTTGGAATTTATGTTCATAAACTGTAATTTATGACCGTGTATGATTGTTTATTGCACTGAGTAGTACAATATACCGTTAACCACTATAATACGGGTGGTCTATTCAGGTATTTTAAGCAAGGCTTGAGAACTTTTGGTTTTTAGACGTAGTAAATTTTATTGTATCGACGAAATCATCCGTTATTCCGTTGTAAATCAAATAACGCCCACCCAATTTGGCATCAGGAAATCCATAAGCTCTCACCTTCGGCTTGGGGTGGGTTTTGTTTTGCCACCGTCCTTTCAGCAGTGTCATCAACCCTTGGCCAGACAGTAAATCATAATCCCGGACGTCCTGGTCATCCTTCTGGGAACAGGAAGACCGTTTTATTACGAACTCTTGCATTCGCAATAGTCAAAGAATGTGGTTGTCATTGGGAAAACGATGTAACCTGTAATAAACCGACTATGAAATCCGCTTTTTAGATTTAATTAGAAAATATAATATTAATATCAGAATAGCTGAAATTCCAATTATCATGTTATGTAAATATCGTTTTAAGAGTTACGGTTTTTAAAATTTCAGTTTGATGAAAATTGGAAACTATACACAAAAAACGAGCGAACATAATTATCTTATTTTGAGCATTAGAAATATCTATCACTTTTCACTCACGAACACACTGGATCAAGTTATGAACTAGAAGAAAAAGCAATCAGTTGTTACTTCCAAGCTTTCGATCTATTTTAAGGTCATCAACAGGCCTATAATAATTTCTCATTATGAAAAAAGTACTTGTATAATTGATTAATTAATTATTATACCTTTATAAAACTTACAAAACTATCTTAAAAATGTCTAAATTTGACAAACTACTCGAGACGATAAATAAATATCTTGATCTCTTCCAATCAAGCTTATTTGTTTTAAAAATGGATACATACTTTCATTTTACAGACAAGTAAACCAAGTAGAGAAAATAAGACGAAGAAGATAGCAAAATACCAAACCCCATGAAAATGAAGAAGATCATGGTTCATATAAAGATTTACCACTTCGCAGATCTCAATATAATTAAATGTAAATTAACTAATCAATTCCTACTCCAAACTAAATAATGAGGTAGTTTTTATTATATTTAAACTAGTTTTAACTAGATAGGGAAATGTTAAATGTAATAGTTTCTGATGAAGGATTTAAAGTTAGGTAGTTTTCGATAATAGACTGCTCGTTCTCATTGTTAAAGTCTTGAAGACTAAATATGAGAGAAGAAAAGAAAAAACAAGAAGGATAAAGGAGGGAGAGAGAAAGATAAAAAGAAAAGAGAGAGAGAGAGAGCGAGAGAGAGAGAGAGAGAGAGAGAGAGAGAGAGAGAGACAGAGAGACAGACCGACAGACAGACAGACAGATAGACAAACAGTCAGAGGGAAGGGTGATAATAGGGAGTGATGAAGGAAAGAAGAGGTAGTTGGATGTTTGGAATATCTATTGGATATTGGAATAAATAGATATAAATAGATAGAGATTGAGATATATAGACGCATAAATAGAGAAAAGTTAGGGATATAAAGACTGAAGAAGGGACATTGATATCTAAAGATTCAGGGTGAAAGAGAGAGATAAGAAGATATATAGATTGAAAAGAAGAGAGGACGAGACTTATTGTGACAATGAAAGAAATAGAGTGAGAGGGAGAGGGTGGAGAGAGAGATAGAGAAGATGGATAGAAGGAAGAAAATAACAAATAAACAAACAACGATAGCCAATCAAGGCAGATAATGGAAAAGAGGGTAAGTAAAAATAAACAGAATAAGAAATTAAAAATATAAGAATCTTTAAACCATGGTATAAAGTTAGTTTTGAAAATTATCGACTAATCAGAATTTTTCCCGTTTGGAAAATATTTTAAAAGACTGATGATCTTTACTAACCAAACAAATCCTAAATCTCGTTTCTGGTTCACCCATCGCAACACAATGAGCGATTTAGTACATAAAAATAAACAATTAAAGGATTCGAATTATAGAATCTCCAGGAAGCGTTCGACAATGTTTGGAACCAGGGTTTGATGTTCAAGCCGAATAAAGCTGGATATACCATTATCCAATCGAATTACAAATAGCCTTCTTTTTATGTGGTATCAAAAATCACCAATCTGAACAAAATCCAGCATACTCCGGGACTGCTGAATGATTTGTCCTCTTACTTTATCTTACATCTGGCAAAAATCAGTGGTTTAGTGTTTATGCAAAAACATTCTCTTTTTTATCGCAAAACGTGCAAAATGAAAGAATTGCTATGGCACCCCAGCAACTTTCACGGTCGACCGCAGTTTCCCTCTTCCTGGGGTAAGCGACCTCTAAGGTACGAAAGTACCAAGGGTACTTTTGGCACACGGGGCAAAAGGGGGAAACGTCGAAATATTCCATTGTGTCTTGTAAAATGCTGCCACCCCCTGATATATGGCGAATTGCTTTCCGTGTTCCCTTCTGCCGGGCGGACAATCGTAAATCAGCTCTCGCCCTTTTCGCCAAAGTTCAGCCACCTCGGAAGAAAATTTTCGCCGGAAAGTCAATCACCTCTAAGTTTTCACGTTGGGCGATTTGGCACGCTGTACTGTCTCGGACCATATATCAAGCCTGTGTGCAAAACAAAGAGACAGGAAGGAAAACACAAGTCGGTGATGAGTTAAGAACTACGTTACTTGTCTCACTGGACATTCCAGAAAGTCTTTTAAGGACCACAAAATAAATTGTACATTAGATTTAAAAATTTATTTAAGCAATTAAATACAGTGACTGTACGATGTTTTTAATAATCTGATTTAACTGAAAACTTAATGAACAAAATATTGCCTTCAGAGAAAACCTTCAAGTTAATTAAGTGACCAAATCTACCTGAAAAATTTCGATTTCTCTCTATATGTATCTATCTATCTTTCTTTCTTTCTTTTCATTCGCACTCTACTATTTATCTATTGACGTTGCTTTATTCCTATCTTCATCTTACTCTCTTTATATATATTTACTTATTTATTTATCTATTTACCTTTTTTCCCTCCCTCTCACTCACTCTCTCTCTCTCTCTCTCTCTCTCTCTCTCTCTCTCTCTCTCTCTCTCTCTTTCTCTACATCTATCGATCTATCTATTCAATTATTTATTCATCTATCTATTTACCTCTCTTTCATCCTCTCTCTCTCACTCTTTTTACACACAGACGACACAGACAAACTCTTTCTTATATCTCCCTCTATATCTATCTATCTATTTATCAATCCATCTATCTATTTACCTTGCTTTCTTCCTCTCTTTATCTTTTTCTCCCCATATATATTTTCTTATTTATTTATCTATTTACCTTTTTCCCTCCTTCTCACTCACTCTCTCTCTCTCTCACTCTCACTCTCTCTATCTATCTATCTATCTCTATCTCCATTTTCCTTTCTCTGTCTCTTTCTTTCTCTCTCTGTCTGTCTCTCTCTCTTCCTCCTCACTCCCCCTCTCTTCTTTCTATCCGTGTACCATCTATTTAATTATGCATCTATCTATCTACCTATCTTTCTTTCCCTCTTTCTTTTTCTCTCTTTCCTTTTCTTTTAACTCTCATTTTATCTACCGGTCTGTTTAATTTCTTCTCCCTTTTTCTTCCTCACACACCCTCAAACATATATTTTTAACATACAAATAAAAACAAAATATAACCAAAAATTTACGCAGTAATATTAGCCGTTTTATTTATTGGGAAACTATTACTGGGTAATAAGTAGGTAAATAATTGTGTTATAACCAGTTTTGCAATTGTCAGAAGAACATTCACAATTCTTCATGCAAACAAAAAAAATTTTTTTTCAAAAAACAATAATAATAAAGGTATGAGTTTTTAGGTTATTAAATCTGCTTCCATCAATATTACATTACGGAACAACTGAATTCTGTAAGTTATAAAGTATTATGTCAAAATAATCTTTTTGTTACTTAATGCATATGACACGTTCGATCTTACGCTATCTCAATATGTAATTTTATCGTGAATTAAAACAATGGGCTTCTAAATAGAGAATAGATAGGAGACTAGATATTTGTTAACCTTTTAAATTACCAATTAATGTTTTGAGGAGGGGATATATTCATCGTATGCTCGAGTAAAGAACTGTTTCCTTTCTAATTTCTTTCTTCTTTGTAAAATATGCTTTACAATTTTAAACCCAAAAATATTGACTGATATTATATTTATGTGTATTAATTTTGTAGAACTTGCTTGTAAAACATAAAATTGTACATGGTGTCAACATCTACGATGGTATCTTAATATTTATTATAATGTAATAAAATGTTACTTTTATTTGCATTTGATATTTTGTTGATAATTAGTTGTCGTGTAAACAGCATGCTAAATTTCTCTATTTTTATAAGCAATATTACGAACATTTATTTGTTACGTGCATTTAGAATTGAACACGTCGTAAAACCAATACGGATACGGCCTTCCACTCGCAAAGTATATCATATTTCGTAGTTTAAATTCGGAAATGGTTAAATGTGATTTATTATAGTACTTTGTCGGTACTAGTTCATAACGGTACTTGCCGGATTTTTTCAAAGGAATATTTGTTGTTGAAAAACGGCCCTTAACGGTTGCGTCAAAAGGGGCTTACCTAGCGGAATGTATGCATAAAAAAACGACTGTTTACGGACAACTGTAACAAAGTTGTAAAAAAACGGCCTTGCACCCCTCATAAAAGTCGATTCAAAAGTGTTTTTTTTTTAGCCATAACATCTCACTTAAATATTCAAATGACGTGCGACTCATCGAGTAGGCCGAAATTGCGTCGCATATTGCCATTTTGCGCGAAGGAATGCCTCTTCGGACGGGCGAAACTTATTTATGAGCCTTTCGGTCTGTACACTTCCCTTTAAAAGGTAGGAAGGAAATAAATTTGTTTTCTTACCCTTCCGTGACAACCGAAGGAGTTTTTGTTGTGTCAACGATTGGACAATTGTTATGCCAGTCCGTTTCTTAGTTGGCACCCCTTTCAAGTATTTTATTTTTTCGCGTAAAACTGCCTTTTAACAATTTAGTCCGTGATTTACGATTTATTTGTGTCTAGGACGACGCTTGTTATTTGTTTCATTTTTGTACATCTAAGTGTGCAGATTATAAATAAGCTCACATTTCAAATTCCACTATTTGTTTTGATGTTTCAATTGCTTTGTCATATTTTAACATGACACAAATTAACTCTTACTATTTTATGGAAATCAACAATAATAAAATATTCTGCAAAAAGGGATGATGAGTTACAGGAGGTTTCGGCGTCTTACCTTGTCCATTGGTGCGCCTCCAAGAATATTCTTCAAAACCCACAGCTGAATATGACGAGAAGCCAAAACGTCTCTAACAGGCTAAGACTTATAGAAAACGACGAAACTACATATCAATATTTTAAATAT